AATCACCAATCAATCCCCGCAGTTAGTTCAAAAATGGAGGCAGAAGTTGCACAAAACGCTTTGACTCAAGGGTACAAAAGACGGATGTGTGACGTTAAGCTATTAATAGTGGCTGTAACGACCAAAACATAGTAGAAAATCGGCACCAGGACAGAGGAAAGGATGCTACTAGCAGCATCCTGTGTCAGGCTGACATTGTTACCCGTGGGGTAAAATAACATAACATCTGACTGAGATCAAATTCAAAGGCTTTGCGGAACCTAGATCTGCATCCAAAGCAATCGCAGAAGGGAAAAAAAGCTCTGGACTGGTCCTCTATAGTTAAGTACTCTTGGACTCACATCTCAGAATAGAACAATGTGGGAGGCGCGAGCGGGACAGTGCTGGGAAAATGTCAGAGTCGCACAGTGACAGGCAGCACATTCACAGATGTTCAGGCTGAGAACACTGGGTTCCTGTTCTCATCACTGCAGGCAATGGCTCCATCTGCTTTCTGTCACAGGCTGCTGTTCTTAGAGCAGCAATTAGGCTTCAGGGCTTGCTCTCTATTTACGAGACCTAGCAGGCTGGGGTTCAGGGCACATTCCTCGGGCCTTGGTCCAGCAAAAGGTCATGGGGTAAAGAGGATGTGAAGCGAAGATGAAGTTTCTCAAGGATGAATCTGAAGAAGTAAAACTGGATGACAGTGCTCCTATTTGGCATGTAGATTTTAATCAAGTGAACGAGTATTCTGCACATCCTGGCTGGATACATTGAGAAGTTCCCTTAGTTTTTGGGATGCGGCTTTCCATGACCCAAGAGTGAACTTCTCTGTAAATTCCTTACATCCATTTGGGTTGAACTTACCCTCTTTGAAAAACATCCGCACAGTGGGCTGATTACAGAAACCCCACATTCCAGGGAGGAGAACATGCGAATCTGTTTTCATGTGAACTGGGAATAACAAATGACATGGAACCTCCCTTATGCTTTGCATCAAGGTGATACACGAATGTCCTAAACGTTTGCACGTGGACGTTCTTGCTAATGTTGTCCTGCATCACCACGGATGCTGTTTCTTTGAAACATGTTGGAAAGCTATAGCCGGAACTGAACTATAGGCGATCTTTGATTGAAAGGAATGTGGTGTTTATTAGACCCAATGCTACAGGGCATGACCTTGTGACCCCCGTATCCTCAGCTTGGTTTTTCCATTCCTTGCTCTTGTTCACTTGATAGAACACCTTTGTTTAGACAAACTATAAGTGCGGAAATGGTGGTGAAAGTGGTTGGATCAGGTAAAGCTCAGACTATTTCATCAAGCAGGTACAGTACACATAATATGGACCAAAGTATGTGGACACCTGACCATCCTCCACCTACATAAGCTTGTTGGACATCCCGCCCCCCCAAAACATTAATACAGGCATTAATATGGAGATGCTGTTATTCCTCAAAGACACACCTGCTTCACAATAATAGCACTTACAGTTGAATAACATAGCAGGGCAGAAATTTCATGAACAGACTTGTGGCACATTTAACACCACTGAACTCTTCAGTACAACCCACTGTTCTGCCAGTGTTTGTCAATGTGCTTTATTTTATACACCTGACACTAAATGGTGTGGCAGAAACATTTGCATTTATAGCGTTTAGTGGACACTCTTATACAGGGCAACTTACATAAATAGGCAAAGCTTGTGTTAAGAGTCTTGCTGAAGGGGGTGAAGGTGCTATTATTGTGAAATGGCAGCATCTACGAGCAACAACAGCTCAGCCACGAAATGGGAGACCACTCAAACTCTCACAGTGGGGGTGCACGAAGCAATTATCTTCTTTGTTTATGTAGTGTATATACAACCCCATTTCCCAAAAAGTTGGGACGCTGTGCAGAATGTACATAAAAATAGAATGCAATTATATGCAAATCATGTAAACCCTATATTTAAATGAAAATACTACAAAGACAACATATCAAATGTTGAAACTGGGAAATGAGGGAGCATGTTTACCACTGTGTTTCATCACCTCTTCTTTTAACAACACTCTGTAAGTGTTTGGGAACTGAGGAGACACTGCTGTAGTTCTGAAAGTGAAATGTTATCCCATTCTGGTTTGACATGGGATTTCAGCTGCTCATCAGTTCAGGGGCTCATTTGTTGTATTTTTCATTTCATAATGCACCAGATGTTATCAGTGGTGACAGGTCTGGACTGCAGGCGGGTCAGTTTAGCACCCGGACTCTTTTAACACAGAGCATTGCTGTTGTAATATATGCCGAATGTGGTTTGACATTGTCTTGCTGAAATAATCAAGGCCTTCCCTGAAAAAGACGTCGTCTGGATGGCAGCATGTTGCCAAAACATGTATATATCATTCAGCATTAATGGTGCCTTCACAGATGTGCACGTCACCCATGCCATCATACTCATACCATCGCAGATGCTGGTTTTTGAACTGTGCACTGATAACAAACTGGAGGGTCCCTCTCCTCTTTAGCCTGGATGACAGTGTCCATAATTCCTACAAAGAATTTCATTTTTAATTTGTCAGACCACAGAACACCTCCACTTCACCTCAGTCCATTTTATATGAGTTTGGGCCCAGAGAAGGTGGCAGCGTTTCTGGATCCTGTTTATATATGGTTTCTTCTTTGCGTTTTAGAATTTTAACTTGCATTTGTGGATGCAGCAATGAACTGTTTTCACAGACACTGGTTTTCAGAAGTGTTTCTGAACTCATGCAGTGATTTCCACTGCAGAATCATATGTGTTTTTAAAGCAGTGCTGTCTGAGGACCCAAAGATCACGGCCAGCAAATACTGGTTTTTGGCCTTTCACTTACATACAGAGATTTCTCTTAATGATATGTCTTTTAATGATATTATGTACCGTAGATGATGAAAAGCAAAAGTTCTTTGCTATTTTATGTTGAGAAACGTTATTCTTGAATTGTTGTACTATTTGATTGTGCAGTCTTTCACAGAGTGGTGAACCCCTCCTCATCTTTACTTCTGAAAGACTCCGCCTGTCTGAGATGCCCTTTTATACCAAATCATGTTACTGACTTGTTGCCAATTAACCACCAGGTGTTTTCTTTAGCATTACACAACTTTACCACCCTTTTGTTGCCCCCGTCGCAACTTTTTTGGAACGTGTTGTTGGCATCAAATTCAAAATGGGCAAATATTTTTCAAAAAACAATACAATTTCTCAGTTTTGGCATTTAATATGCTGTCTTTGTAGTATTTTCAATGAAATATAGGGTTTAAATAATTTACACATCATTGCATTTTGTTTTTATTTACATTTTGCACAGCGTCCCAACTTTTTTGGAATTGGGGTTGTATTATATACAATGAGACCTGACTGCTTGTTTAAATAAAGCCCCTCATTCATTTGATTAACCATGAAGCTGTGTGTTTGGATAAACACTGGACAATTTCAGGTTAACAAACTCCATAAAAATGTTCATCCCAAGAATTTTACATACACCAGCAATAAAACTAAAACCTTGAGAAACACTAAATTATGACCCGTTGGACAGGATAACTAGTGACTGAGTTATTTAACTTTTTATTCAGATCGCACACAAACTGCAGTGGGTGATTTAAAAAGCAATTTGTCACCAAGTTCTGAAAGTATACTCGGTGAATGGACTTTTTTTTGTATATGGCTAACAAGCTGTTAATTTAGCCTGTATGAATTTGAAGCATTTGACACAAAACATTCGTTCTCATGGCACATCAGCCCACAGAGGTAGCTTGATAAACTGTCCATAAGAATGTGTCTGTGAGATGACAATCAAGATTATACTGGGTGGAGCAATGAAAGCTACACCGATCAAGCATAACATTCTGACCACCTCCTTGTTTCTACGCTCATTGTCCATTTTATCAGCTCCACTTACTATATAGGTGCACTTTGTAGTTCTACAGTTACAGACTGTAGTCCATCTGTTTCTCTGATACTTTGTTAGCCCCCTTTTACCCTGTTCTTCAGTGGTCAGGACCCCCATGGACCCTCACAGAGCAGGTACTATTTGGGTGGTGGATCGTTCTCAGCACTGCAGTAACACTTATGGTGGTGGTGTGTTAGTGTGTGTTGCGCTGGTACGAGTGGATCTGGAGTTTTTAAACACCTCAGTGTCGCTGCTGGACTGAGAATAGTCCACCAACCAAAAATATCCAGCCATCAGCGTTCTGTGGGCAGCGTCCTGTGACCACTGATGAAGGACTAGATGATGACCAACACAAACTGTGCAGCAGCAGATGAGCTATCGTCTCTGACTTTACATCTACAAGGTGGACCGACAAGGTAAGAGTGTCTAATAGAGTGGACAGTGAGTGGACACAGTGTTTAAAAACTCCAGCAGCACTGCTGTGTCTGATCCACTCACTGCTGAGAATGATCCACCACCCAAATAGTACCTGCTCTGTGAGGGTCCGTGGGGGTCCTGACCACTGAAGAACAGGGTAAAAGGGGGCTAACAAAGTATGCAGAGAAACAGATGGACTACAGTCTGTAACTGTAGAACTACAAAGTGCACCTATATAGTAAGTGGAGCTGATAAAATGGACAATGAGTGTAGAAACAAGGAGGTGGTCATAATGTTAGGCCTGATCGGTGTGTGTTGCAGTGACAGTGATGTATATGGAGTGGAAAAGCTTGGTTTCTGGCACCCAGTTAGTAGGAGATCATCCCTGACACAAGTCCCAGATAATAATAATAATAGTAATAATAATAATTTGCCTGGGTTTAAGACATGATATTAGGCTTCTGGGATAAATTGCTAACAGATTATGCAGGCCACAGATCTCTCTGGGTTCACAGCTTTCAGCAAGGCCATTTCTCACACAGCTCTATAATGGGAAAAAAGCGAAAACCTTAAAAAAGTGACTAGACACCCACCTTTAGAACGAACCTACCTTGTGGCACCGTCCACTTTCACTTTTAGCTAGAACTAGAAATGCATACGAGTGCAGTGTATGTTGGAACAGCTTTAACAACTGGAGCAGATTCCTTTTAACCCCACTTATTTATTAGATATTATCATTTTATCCAGCTTCCCATATGCCCTCTTATTTAAAAATGAGTCCAGTACTTTTCCACTAGCTTCCGTTCAGTCCTGAAGGAGGTGGTTCTAAGAAGGGGGTTTCACTTTAAGGGGGCCGAGCTGGGTCCTTCAGTGCTGTATGAAAAAAAAGCTGGAGGATTAATTCATAATTTGTTTTTGACCGTCTTCACTTCAGTCCATCCGCCTCTCATTCTCCACTCTCCTCGGCATCATCTCCCTGGTCGCCGTCCATTAGCAAGGCTGCGTATTTACTGGCTGAGCTGAATGTCTGTCAAAAGAGAGAAAAGACAGTTGAAAACCAACTTCTAAAAGAAATATGATTAAAGCTGTCTGAGAGGGGTAGTTAAGCTAAACTAAAATAGCTGAAGTCAATTTTATTTCATTAAAAATATATAATAATTTTAAGAGTGTTAAAAGGTTATTTACCTTTTTTTTTTTTAAAAAGAAATTTATTGGCCAATGTTTGTCACATGAGGATTAAGCACTGAATTTAGAAATGCACAGCCAAAGCATTGTAGTCTTGGGGATTAAAAAAAAAATAAATCTAAACAAAAGCAGGGCAAGAGACACCAAATAATTAAAAATCATTTTGTTCATGGGCCTCACGGTCCACAATATCGGCCTCTGGTCAGCACATTGGTACAGGAAATCAAGGTATCCCACACACAGCAGATGTCCTGAGTAAATTATTGAAAAGTTGCACAACAAATTTTAAACAAATGAGAGTTTCAAATGAGTCTAGGACCACGAGAGGGGTATGAGCGAACAAGACAACACTTTCAGTTTAATAACTGAAAAACAGGAGGAAATCACCAGTGATATTTAACATTTAAAGAGAATGCAGAGGAAGATGACACAAAGGCAGCAGAGTGCAATGCCGATTTGGCTTTCCAGGCCCTTTTTTAATCCACACTTTGGTAAACCACATCTTTTGTCCAGTTTTCTTCAGTCCACTTCATTCAGTTCCGTATGTAACGAGCTCAGTTTCACACCACCACTCTGGTACAGCAAGAGCTGATCATGCACATACACACTACATGTGACCATGCAGATGCCCAGCTGGTACCATATTTAGAGGAGAGTGAGTCCTACCATTCTTCACACCAACAAGGGCACAGCCGATCGTGATTCCAACCATTCTTTGACACAATTCAACTATTTTCTTAAACATTTTCAGCATATTTTAGCTTTTCAGCCTTTTGAGTCATTGGCAATTCTCAATCTTTGCAAGCCTCACATCAGTCTGGCCGGGCAAAGCGCCCTTCCTTCAAGCACATGACTTGCTCAACTTTGCCTTTACAGGCATCAGACTTAATCAGTACTCCACAAAAGAAAGAGGGTGACCTCTGCTGTCTAATTACACAACTCTTGCAAAATAGAAGTAGGAATCACATTTGATCCAAATCCTTTCTGACCTCATAAGATTTGAATTATAGGTTTTGAGAAATGTGGTTAAAACTGGAATTTAAAAAGGTCTGCAGTCTAGAGCATACTTAAACTTCTGAGTAGTGGGTATTCACTCTCATGGATTAAAACAGTGACCTGAACAGATGCATTTGGGACACTCCGCTCTTTTTCCTGCTGATTTAAAATGGCACAGGCTAGAGGGAAGCGACAGACACGCCCACAACAGGGGTTTGACAGTCCAAATATTCTGAAAGGGATGATTCAATAGATGTTTGTCTTTGAAGAAGAGCAGCTCCACTAAAATCAAAATCTATTCTAAAAACAAATTCTACTAATGCAAAAGACCTAAAGATATTAAGACCAAGTGCACATCACTCGGTCTATAAACGGGTGTCCTGTTTACAAACATCACCGGGTGCACGCAGCCAGGGGGCAAAACCGCTTTGGTAACTTACCAAAGTTAGACTGTAGACTACCAAGAATGCAGCGTTAGTCAAGTTAGTAATTTTCGCACTGTTCATAAATTCTTGTTGACTCGATAGTAAAATGCTGTTTCAGAGTCGGATCTGTTTGTCATTTATTTGCATATTAATATAACATTATGTAAAACGTAGATACAATAGTTGACTGTCAGTATCGGCTAGTCATCTGGGGCCGTATTACAGAAAATTCTTAAGTCTGAGATCTGCTTTGTTGTCATGGCAACTTCAGTTAAGACTGAAGTTAGGACAGAAGCCATGACAGAACAACAGTTCTTAAGTCTATAATCTTATTTCAAGAAAGAAAATGGTTTTACAGAAACATCCTAAGTTGCCAAAATACCCTAAATTTTGTCCTAACTTTAAGATAAACCCCAGAGCGTCTTAACTTCTGTTTTAATCATCTGTTTCTATTGTTTTATGCAGTGACAGGCAGCCCAGTTCACTATAACGCTACATTTATCTACACTGAAAAGGTGCTTTGACTTTTCTAACAGGGTTTAAAACCCCAGACGCTGCAGACTCGATCTCCACCGTCCCTCTTATTACCTTCGTGCGTTAATGTTGATGATGAAATATTACAGTGATGGTGGTGAATAATGAGGAGACGGAGCTGAACGTGTGTCTGTTTATTAGGAGGAGTAACGTTAGCACGGTCGGCTAAAGCGTTTGGGAAACGGAGACTGAAACTGTGGAGCGACGACACTCTGATAAACAGCACGAAGCGCTGATACAATATTCTTCACTCTCAGTTTATCACGCAAATTTGACTTTCTTTACATCAGTAACGGTAGCTAACGTTAGCTCTCTGACTAACTAGATTAGGTGTTTACATTTCAGCTGTGCGCGTATGGTCGGTTGCTAGGTAACAGACACGACAGCTGATTGCAGACTTCAATCGAGTAAGTTAAGATTTCCTAACTTGAGGTAAGAAAAGATGCTGTAAGATAAAATAAGATTCTTAAGATAAGATTTGCTTCTGTGATATGAATTTAAGAAAAATCTTATCTTGACCTGTCAGATCTTAAGTTAAGACAAAAAGATAGTAAGTTTCTCTAATACGGCCTCTGGTCTCTATGAACGGCCCACTAAGTTTGCTATTCCCTAAATGTTTAGCTAACAGGAGCTATCCAAATCACAGAAACCTTTATGGCTTCCTAACATGTCCTATGAATTTCACGCAGCTTACCTGGTTTAGCTGTTTGTTGAGCCTGTTTATTCTCTCCTTATTTGATAATATCAAGAGCACGGTGGTACCGTTAGTGTTGATAAGCTAGCTGACCGAACAAAAACAATATTTTTTTTTCGCTATCATTGATATGAATCACACACAATGCTAACTAACTCATTACCTAACTAGCTAATGTTAGCAAACAGAAATGTACCGGTGTTCTGATGAATTGCGTGACCTTGTCGAAAAGTCCTACTATACCGCATATTTATAGGTAGAGTTCTACATACAGTAGGCAGTACTACAGGGGGCAGTCGTGGGCTGGAGGCTAGGGAACCAGCCCTGTGACTGGAAGGTCGCCAGTTCGATCCCCTGAGCTGACAGTACATGACTGAAGTGCCCTTAAGCAAGACACCTAACCCTCAACTGCTCCCCGGGCGCTGTGGATAGGGCTGCCCACCGCCCTGGGCAAGTGTGCTTACTGCCCCCTAGTGTGTGTGTTCATTAGTGTGTATGTGGTGTTTCACTGCACGGATGGGTTAAATGGGGTGGTGAAATTTCCCTACTGTAGGACTGATGAGGGTCTTAATCTTAATAAAACTGTAGGTGGGATATTTTCATAACCTAAATCACATGAAGCTGAAGTCAGCTTCTTCTCTTTTTTGAAGTTTCCAGTTCCACCTTAAATGGTGAAGCAGTTACATTCTGGCGCCTCAAGCCATTGCCTACTCAGGCACCATTTAAGGTGGAACGGGAAAATTCGAACAAATAGCTGGAAAACAAAAAGCTGACTTCAGCCTCGTATAAATCACTGTGTCAGAAAATGCTACCAGTATTAAAACTATGGTTTGGATGTGTTGATAGCCAACCAGCCTATCAAAAAAGACTACATTCGGATATGAAGTGAGCACTGCACAGGTTTTCGCTGTCTTTGGGACCATCGGGACACCAATTCGGCCTGAATCCATAATCTTCTGCAGTGTTTGGCAAAGGGACGTGATCCCCTCAGGATATTTAACATTCTCCATCAATCTTCTCTGTGGTTGGTGCATTTTACTGTACAATAACCCCTTGACATTGTTGCCTTCTGCTCTTGCCTGTGCATCTTTGTTATGATGTTGTGCAGAAACCCGTCTAATTGTTTACTGGTTAACTCAGCCCTTTATTTTATGACTACTTAGTACCAAAATAAAGTGGTAGATGTCACTTTTGTGCACAAACGACTGATTTACATATTCTTAACTCCACCAAAATATAGCCAGATGCAAATACTGTATGAATTCCAGACACTCCCTGCCCTAATGTCATGGGGTTGACCATTTAACCCACAGAGTTGTATGCAAACGTTTAGGTGCCCCAGGTCAAATGACCTGTTTTATTTATCTTCTTAAGTGACAATAAGAAATAAATCCTCTGCAGAAAACTCACTTCTGCACATTGTAATTGTACAATCACTGTTAATTTGCTGAATTTAACATTTTGTAAAACAGAAAAAAAAAAAACATGCCAGATTTTATATTTATATTTTGTATTTTTCCTTTTTCCAGCAAAAACATAGAAAATGTGGAATATAATTGGCATAAAAATGCCAGATTTACGTTTGCTCCCCGTAAAGGATTTGCTAACTTACTTTTTACTTAGAAAATTAACAAAACATGCCATTTGGCTGGGGCTGATCAAATTGTATACTATTTACATTTAGGTAACTACTACCTTTAGCTTTGAAACACTGATTTGATAGCTACATCAAAAATAAATGAAAATATATCCATTTCAGAATATTTGGACAAAGACACTGGCACACCCAGAGGTAAAGATATGGGAAAACAGGCTTGGGGGGGTGGGAGTCGGGGGTCACACCCAAAGAGAGCCTAAGCTCAGTCACTCACAGGACTGGGAGATTCCTCATATTTCTTTGGCTCTGGTGCTGGTCTGAGATCTCGCTCTCTTCTGACGTCCTTTCTACAAGCAACGTACAACAGAGTGAGGGACAGTCTCTGCCATCCATGTATACCCATACTTTGTTTATTAGCTAAAACTGCTTAAAGAATAGAACTCCTAACTAATCCTTTCTCGAGTTCCTGAGGCCAGATGCAACTTGCCCAGAGAAAACCAAGATCTCGAAAAGACTCAACATCTCAGCAGTCTGTAGACCAAAACAACGATATCTTGCAATTTATAGGCTGAACCTGAAATGGCTCCCTATTTGACAGACTGTACAATGCATGTGTTACATATACACTATATGGCCAAAAGTATGTGGACAGCTGACCATCACACCTACACAGATTAAGGAATAACATTATGACCACCTCCTTGTTTATGGGGTTGTTGTGTTAGTGTGTGTTGTGCTGGTTTGAGTGGATCAGACACAGCAGTGCTGCTGGAGTTTTTAAACACCTCAGTGTCACTGCTGGACTGAGAATAGTCCACCAACCAAAAATATCCAGCCAACAGGGTTGATTTCAGTGCTCTGTGCAGGCCACTGGAGTTCCTCCACACAGAACTCATCAAACCATGTCTTTATATGGAGACTGCTTCGTGCACAGGACCACAGTCATGCTGAAACAGGACAGAGCCTTCCAAAATTGCTGTCACAAACTTGGAAGCATATAAATGTCTAAAATGTCTTTGTGCCCTGTAGCATTAATACTGCCCTTCATTGGAACCGAGTGCCCCAGCCTAAACTCTGAAAAACAGCGCTAGACCATTATCCCTCCTCTACCAAACTTTACTGCTGGCACTATGCATTCCCGTAGGTAGTGTTCTTCTGGCATCCGCCAAACCCAGATTCATCCATCACACTGTCAGAAAGTGAAGCGTGAATCATCACTCCAGAGAACGTTTCTAGTGCTCCAAAATCCAGTGGAGGCGTTCCTTACACCACTCCAGCAGACGCTTGGAATTGTGCATAGTGATTTTAGGATTATATGTGCAGCTGCTCAGCCATTAAAACCCATTTCATGCAGATTTCTAGTAGATTTTTACAAGGTTCAGCACTTGGCTGCCCTGCTTTATTTGCGTTGGTCTACTGCTTCATGGGTGAGATGTTGTTGCTCCTGAAATCTTCCATTTCATAACTACAGCACTTTAAGTTGACTGGGGCAGATCTAGCAGGGCAGAAATGCCAATGTAATGGATTTTAAAATTAGGAAAGATGTCCACATACTTCTGGCCATATAGTGTACGTCAAGCAGAGTCACGTTTAAAATTCATGTGGATTTATTCAGATAGTAAATGCCACTGATGTATCGTGGACTGCTTAAAATGCGTCATTTGAACATTAAATAATAGGCGGACAATCCAGTTGGGGCTTATTTTGAGCATATCATACAGAAACCATAAAGCATTTAAGTGTACAGCTGTAACAGAACAATACATCATTTTTTTCTTGCAGTCATTTGAGACCCAGGGGCAGCTACAAATGGACTTAGGACTCTAGAAGGCAAACGTCATCAAAGGTCCCCCATTTCTCTTACATAAAAACAAATATCAAAGAATAAAGCTCCCAAAAAGGAGGAGGAAAAGCAGTGAGGAGCCAGTCAACAAACTGGCAAATTATTTAACAAAGACAAGCAGACAGAGGGACGCTGCTCCTTTTTTAACCACAAGGGGAGCCACAGAGAGGCTAACCTGTCTGTTTCCTTTCGCCGATCTCGGCTGGCTGCGTCCCCACGGCCTCTCCCTGTTCCAGGACCCGAGGCCCCACCACGGCCCCGGGAGGGACCTCTGTCCCGACGCACACCATCAGCCTTGTTCTCATCTGTAAGGAGAGCCTGGCGTTCAGCAGAGGGGGCTATGGGTGGCCATGTGGTTATGGGGCTCAGCAGTGGGGATTACAGACAGCCATGAAACTAAACTGCCCATTTAAAGGGCACAGAATGGCCATTTTTATACATTATCTTCAGCACAGGCTAGAGTTGTCCACTTTAACACTGAGGTTCTTTAGAGGTTATTGACTCAGACAGAATTTCACTTGAGCATACGGAGTCTGTATCTTTCTGTTGCCTTGTTCAAGCTTTTAAGATGGTTGTGGAAGAATGTGCACGGTTTTTATTTGCAAAACAATCTTAGAGGCTTTATGTAACAACAGGTTGTACATGTTATGTTATTCGCAATACTGCTTTTGTCTGATAAGGCCAGCAAGTTTCTTAAGCCTCAGGATCTTACCTTTACCTTTCTGAGGAACTCTCTCATCAGTTGAGCTTGTAGAGCTGAAATCAAACAGGCCAAAAGGACTAGTGTCAGAGATATTCTGCTGCGTCAGATGCATGGGGGCTCAAACTGTCGCAACTGAACCCCCAAAAGATAAAAGATCAAAAAAAGCCCCTAAACTGATTTGCTTGCTTTCAGTGGGCTAATTATGGACACAGGTAACAAAACAATTTCATCCTTCCTTGAATGACAACTTTGCTAGTTCTGCCTTTTTTAGGAAAACCTGGTGAATTACCGTTGTGGTGGTACAAAAAGTAGGCAAGGCACTGATTCAGTACTAAGTATCATAGACTGAATATGAGATTAACCCAATCCTGCAACAAATCTAGCTTGGAAAATGAAAATGAAGTATAAAATATCATCAGTTAATTTTATATATATATATAAATATATATGTACTTTTATTATCAGTCAAAACTGTACCTCATAATCTATCCCTTTCTTTATGAGTGAAATCATTCTTTATCTGCTGCTGCCTTTACTGGCAGCTATAGTGTGTTGATAACACAGGGCGATTCAAAAAGATTCATCCGATTTCAAAATTTTATTTTTCACTTGTAAATCATTACAGATCAATGCAGTAAACTGTAAATGGTTTAAATGAGCATAAAGTTTATTATGTAATTGTAGAAGGTCTCAGTCTGAACCTCCTCCAGCTGTACAGACAACATCAACACCATAGTCAAACTCATCCCATACTGGATTGAGCGTGTCGGGTGTCGCTGCACTCACGGCTCTTTCAGTGCGATTTCGGAGATCATCCAGTGTTGTGGAACCAACGACGAACGCTCTGAGCTGTTGGAGCTTCACTGCCCACGAAAATCACACTGCACAGTTATGACGGATTCACTCTTATTGAAGTGGAGAACGCAGAACGCTTTCTGCTCAGGGGTCTCATCTCCTCTCAGACTGAAGGGAGCCATCTTCCACTGACAGTCAGAAACTCTATGACCCCCTCTGTCAATTTGATTGTGATTGGTTCCTCGGCGCCTCACGGTTGTAAAATACATGCTTTGAAATCGGATGAATCTTTCTGAATCACCCTGTATTCTCAGTTAAAATGAATGCTAGGTCTCCATCAAAGTTTTGCTGAACACAAGGTACAATATTTCACATCCTTTGGTCAGAACTAGAGAATACTGCTAACAGCCACACACTGACCTTTTGGGTGGAGCGCTGCTGCTGGGGGAGACTGCAGGTTTGGCCTCACTCTCACTGGAGCCTGTACTCATAGCGCTCCTCTTCGCCCAGGCATTCTCTTTAGGGGGCGGAGCTGGAACCACCTTTAGAGGAAGCCCCTCCTGTTTGGAAGGGGGGACGCTGCTTCCCGGGGATGGTGGCTCATCCTCACGCCCACTGAAAACCTCGTTCTCCACGGAGCGCTCGCTTTCCCGACGACGAGAGCCTGTCAGTCAAGAGAATTCTCACTGCTCAAGATTTTTTACAGTCCTTGGTCAATCAATTAGACCAGTTATACCACATACACAATCATCAATCAATAAAGCCTAATGGCCTAACCAAGCCTGATCTGGTTTCCTTTCAAATATCAATGATCACCCAAGGCTGCTCCTATCCCTACGATTCAGACTGAGGAGCTTCTTAACTGATAAGCGATTCATGGCACATCCCTCCAATATCCTGTTTTCAGCGCAGAGGTCTGCTTAAATATCAGAAAAAATAAACATCAACATCATCTAACTTTGTTCTTGGTACGGTTTGGTAAACTTGCTAGATATTTTCTAAATCACACTTCAATTGCAATTAAACTCGTTACTGGAAATTATTTTCTGCTACCTTTAATACTATACTTAAACTTCCTATAGCATCTGACAAAGCATTTACATTAACTGATGCATAGATAAAATAATATAGATTATTAAATTGTTCGTAGTATTAGCCCAATTTACCTCTGCTCGTGGTATTTCCTGGCTGTGATGACTCACTTCCAGTTCGTGAGCGCTCTGTTGGTTGGTCCTCACTTCGCCAGCTGGGATGTCTGAATTTTCAGGTAGAGGAGAGAGAAACATCTGGTTAGTAAATTAATTTCAATGCTTCAATTCCCAAAAGACAGTTAAGTCGACAGTTGATGACAAAAGGATGTATAAATAGTAGCTGAAACTGAAACGTCTCTAAGTTAGGAAGGCTTGAGGTTGTCCTTGATACTAGTGATGTGCTTTTGACTGAAATTACCTTTTGAATTTTGTTATTTGATTACCCATAAGAGTTTTTATTGGATATTCGTTTAAAAAAAGCTTTGATAATAATGTGTGATAATAATGAATCACAGTATACAAACAAACTAGTTCACTGGTGCTGGCGGGCTAAATAATTGGTAAGTGGTCATTTGAAAATGAGTATTATTATTCAAAAAGAGCCAAGTGGAATCTTTTGGTCACTGTGCCCTTGTGCTAACCAGACTGAGGACCCACTGTCATCTATACACACACCTTCAGGCCCCTTTCTTTATTGGCTCATCCACCTTGCATCCCTTTGAGTGTTCCCATGGAGGGCTGTTTTAAACCAAGTAGCAGGGAGTAAGAGGACATTATAAAACCCTTTGAAAGCGAGCATCGATACAGACTTATGACAAGACTTCATAGAAGTGCAATATATATGTAAGTCAATGGAACCAGACGTTTTTCCAAGTGATCTTTAGCCTTTTCTTTTGGTCTGTTTATCATGAAACTAATACACAGTGTAAAGGGCAACAGGCACTTTCAAGTTACGTCAAAAATGGAAAAACTCCAAAAATGGAGGTTTTATCCTGACAGCAGTGATATGTTGCTCCAAGTTGCTTTATATGGACACTAATACACCACCATACCATGACAAACCCAGAACCTGACAGGCCCTGATGCTGGTAACAATCTGAATGGCCATTTTCTTCTTTGGCCCAGAGAACGACATCCTACATTACTCCAAAAACAATGACTCGTCGTTTTGTCAAAGAATCCGCCATAGAAGCAGGCTGTTTCATAATGCAGCGCAGACTGAGTGATCAAAGGTCACAGGCATTCACTTGTGTTTTTCAGTCTTGCTCTTTAAGGAGAGAGATTTTTCCAAATTCCATGAATCTTCTGATGATATTATGCAACACAGACTGCGAAATTACTTCACTTGCTGAGTAATGTTGTTCTTAAATGGTTGGATTATTCGCTGACAATTTTTTGGCAAAACCTCAAGCCTCAAATCATACTCCTAGTGGGACACACACACACACACACACACACAGGGTGATTCAAAAAGATTCATCCAATTTCAAAGTGTGTATTTTTACAACCGTGAGGTGCCGAGGAACCAATCACAATCCAATTGAAAGAGGGGGTCATAGAGTTTCTGACTGTCAGTGGAAGATGGCTCCCTTCAGTCTGAGAGGAGATGAGACCCCTGAGCAGAAAGCGTTCTGCGTTCTCCACTTCAATAAGAGTGAATCCGTCATAACTGTGCAGTGTGATTTTCGTGGGCAGTGAAGCTCCAACAGCTCAGAGCGTTCGTCGTTGGTTCCACAACACTGGATGATCTCCGAAATCGCACTGAAAGAGCCGTGAGTGCAGCGACACCCGACATGCTCAATCCAGTATGGGATGAGTTTGACTATGGTGTTGATGTTGTCTGTACAGCTGGAGGAGGTTCATACTGAGACCTTCTACAATTACATAATAAACTTTATGCTCATTTAAACCATTTACAGTTCACTGCACTAATCTGTAATGATTTACAAGTGAAATAAATCATTTTGAAATCGGATGAATCTTTTTGAATGACTGAATATCTCCCAACAAGCAACTTCTAAGCAAAAACTGGGCCTCAGTGTGCTGGTATATTGCATTTATTTGCATGTACTGCTATCACCTGGAATATCATCTGAACTGTCCAGAGTTTATCAGAGAACAGTGATTGGTCTAACGATAGATTTGGAGGAAAGAACCTTTTAATCGTGAGTTGCTACTGTATAACAGAACTGCTACAATAAACCCACAGAATAAAGAATCACAGCTTATCAAGGGCTTATGAATTTTGTCCAGGTCAGTGTGTGTGTGTGTGTGTGTGTGTGTGTGTGTGTGTGTGTTGTACCTCTCTCTGGGCTTGCGTTCAGGTCCTCTCCCCTTGTCTTCCTCCAACTGTCGCTGCAGCCTCTCCTGCTCTTTCTTCAGTCTCTCCTCTACCTCCCTCTCCTTAGATGCTGTGTCCACCGGCTTGGCACCTCCAAAAATGGAAGCTGATCGGCTGGAAGCGGAGGAGGTGGAGCTGCTCTGGTCCTCCTCTTTGGGAACGCTGCGCGGCTTCAGGCATAGCTTGGGCCTCTGAAGAGGGCCTGAGCACACACAGCAGAAGAGCTGATACACCAAAACTTGTTCCAACAGTGGTAAGTAATTTGCAATCCATTTAACTGTATTGAATATCTACACATTACCTAAATTATCTATACCAGTGGTCTATGATTAAAATTCAGTAAGGTCCAGTTAGAGAAAATTTCCTGAAGCGAAGGTTCGGAACATCATAATGTCTAAGTTGCATTATGACTCAGTGCCATATACTGTTTACTGAAGTAGCCTAGTAGGAATATCAACATATTATACAGTCAACAACTGAATGTCAAATCAAATAAAGTACAGTTCAGTCATATTTTAACAACATTTACTGTCAGTTTTCTCTTTTTAGTGAAATATGTGAAATAACTTCCCTCTGACTCACTTTCTTCTCTGACTGCTGTTTCTTGCCTCGTCCCTCCCCTGTGTGTGCGTCACTCACTCGAGTCTCAGAGCTCATCGTAATGCACAGATCTGATTGGCTGAATAGCGTCACGTGCGATATTTACAACACATGCGATTGGTCTGTGAGTCTCCTGGGCCGTTAAAGCCGCACAGTAAAGGCTAGAAAAGTTACGCTAATTAAAATAGGACCACCTTGTCGAAATTAAATAATTTTCCATAGTTTATCGGTTATTGGTCCAGGTCCGCATAGGACAGCGTCTGTGTCCGGACTCGGACCATGGCCCGCCTATTAGTGACCTCTGATCTACACAGTGAGTTTTTTTTTGCCATTTTTTTTCCTGACAGTAAGTTGGCAAACTCTACAAATATCATTAGCACAAATCTTTTATATGGATGAGAAATTTTGCTAATGAAAGGCCAAAAATTAGAAATAAAAATGGCAAAAACAAACAATATATTTCACATAAAATAATGAAAACATGAGTAAATTCAATTTCAACTGTTCTGGAGTGAAACCTTTATTCCAATGTACGTGGAAGAGACTGATGAGTCTAAAGTATGCTTACCTCTATCCTCACGCCTCTCTTCCCATTTATCATATTTATCTTCACGGTCGCCGTAGCGATCGCCATAGCGATCTCCACTGCCTCGATAGTCGTCCCGTCGGTCATCATAGTCACGGCGGAAGCCGCTGCCGAATGGCCGACGACCCCCACTGCGAGAGTCAAAGCCTGACAGAAAAATTAGAGATAATGAGTAAATCAATTATCTAAGCTCCACTATGAGACTAGGACCAGTTTGTTCCACATTTTGGTCTATTATCTTAAAACAGCACTTTCTCTGGGGCTTAAACATTTAAACATTAGCGTAGCTGGTCCACCTCTATCATAGTCTCTGCGATCTCGGTCATCATAGCGTTCCCGGAATCTGTCTCTGCCACTGTCATAGCGATCGTCCCGCCGTGAACTGTCACGGTACCGGTCTGACTCATAGCGGTCTCGGGACCCTGAAACACAGCAAGATAAACCAAAATCAGTTTTTATAGAAAGCTTAATCAACATTACTCTAGATGTTGTTGACAAAGTACCTTGTTTATTGTATTGGAATGACTTTGAATGCATTTTATTGTGTTTCTTAAATCAAACAAACAGGTTTAGACAGCTAATGTGATCCCAAAAACAAGTTCCGTGAATGACTTTATTTTACAGAATTATCAGATTTGTCAAGAAAACCAAACTCATAAATCCTAATTTACAGTGGGGCAAAAAAGTATTTAGTCAGCCACTGATTGTGCAAGTTCTCCTACTTAGAAAGATGAGAGAGGTCTGTAATTTTCATCATAGGTACACTTCAACTATGAGAGACATAAAAACTATGAGAAAAAAAAAAATCCAGGAAATCACTTTGTAGGATTTTTAAAGAATTTATTTGTAAATTATGGTGGAAAATAAGTATTTGGTCACCCACAAACAAGCAAGATTTCTGGCTCTCACAGACCTGTAACTTCTTCTTTAAGAAGCTCTTCTGTCCTCCACTCGTTACCTGTATTAATGGCACCTGTTTGACCTCGTTATCTGTATAAAAGACACCTGTCCACAGCCTCAAACAGTCAGACTCCAAACTCAACCATGGCCAAGACCAAAGAGCTGTCGAAGGACACCAGGAAGAAAATTGTAGACCTGCACCAGGCTGGGAAGAGTGAATCTACAATAGGCAAGCAGGTTGGTGTGAATAAATCAACTGTGGGAGCAATTGTAAGAAAATGGAAGACATACAAGACCATTGATAATCTCCCTCGATCTGGGGCCCCACGTACGATCTCATCCCGTGGGGTCAAAATGATCATGAGAACGGTGAGCAAAAATCCCAGAACTACACAGAGGGACCTGATGAATGACCTGCAGAGAGCTGGGACCGAAGTAACAAAGGCTACCATCAGTAACACACTACACCGAGAGGGACTCAAATCCTGCAGTGCCAGGCGTGTCCCCCTGCTCAAGCCAGTACATGTCCAGGCCCGTCTGAAGTTTGCCAGAGAGCATATGGATGATCCAGAAGAGGATTGGGAGAATATCATGTGGTCAGATGAAACCAAAATAGAACTTTTTGGTAAAAACTCAACTCGTCGTGTTTGGAGGAAGAAGAATGCTAAGTTGCATCCCAAGAACACCATACCTACTGTGAAGCATGGGGGTGGAAACATGATGCTTTGGGGCTGTTTTTCTGCAAAGGGGACAGGACGACTGATCCGTGTTAAGGGAAGAATGAACGGGGCCATGTATCGTGAGATTTTAAGCCAAAACCTCTTTCCATCAGTGAGAGCATTGAAGATGGAACGTGGCTGGGTCTTCCAGCATGACAATGATCCCAAACACACCGCTCGGGCAACGAAGGAGTGGCTCCGTAAAAAGCATTTCAAGGTCCTGGAGTGGCCTAGCCAGTCTCCAGACCTCAACCCCATAGAAAATTTGTGGAGGGAGTTGAAAGTCCGTGTTGCCCAGCGACAGCCCTAAAACATCACTGCTCTAGAGGAGATCTGCATGGAGGAATGGGCCAAAATACCAGCTACAGTGTGTGCAAAGCTGGTGAAGACTTACAGGAAACGTTTGACCTCTGTCATTGCCAACAAAGGTTATGTTACAAAGTATTGAGTTGAACTTTTGTTATTGACCAAATACTTATTTTCCACCATAATTTACAAATAAATTCTTTAAAAATCCTACAAAGTGATTTCTCCCTACAAAGGGATTTTTTTTCTCATTTTGTCTCTCATAGTTGAAGTGTACCTATGATGAAAATTACAGACCTCTCTCATCTTTCTAAGTAGCAGAACTTGCACAATCAGTGGCTGACTAAATACTTTTTTGCCCCACTGTATCTAATCTAATTTATCCTAATGTATAAGCTGCTAATATGTCATAGTGTGTTCCATCCTCCTTTGCACAGCTCCACATACTCTCAGTACCGTGTGCTGCCTGTGTTCTGTTTTGTGTTTATTGTAAGTCTTTTGTGTTTATTTATTATACTGTATTGTCTGCACTGTGTTTATTGTATTGTCTCACGCTTGTGTTCTGTGTTGGTCCTGGAGGAATGTTGTTTCGGTTTACTGTGTACTTGTATAGAGCTGAAATGACAATAACGCCTGACTTGACTTGATCTGATCCTGCTGGAACAACACAGTTTTCAAATCAAATCCACTGTAGCTGATCTTTCTGTGACCTGTGACCTTAAATGACTGCATGCTCGTTATGTTTTGTGAACAGACTAAGACCTTAGCATCAACAAATATGCTGAACGTTCTTGTGAACATCATACACAAACAACTCTTGCAAAATTGGCACAGAACCAACAGTTCAATAACAGGCCGCTGTGCTTTTCACAATAAGGCATCAAAGAAAAGCTCTTTTGATGAAGGATTCTGAACTTAAGTCTTATTATTAATTATTATTATTATTATTATTAAGTATAAGTCATTGCCAAGAACAGGAGTCAAAAAGCTAAAAAACATCTGGACTAATCATGCCTTTCTAATGACTATCATCTCACAGCTGTGAACTAGAAGGGATGCTAAGTGTCAATGGTGCAAAGCACAACTCTAAAGGCCATTACCCACTGAACACGATGCAAAAAGACATTAAAAATTCGGAATATTCAGATGCTTTTCACACACAGGATGGGACATTATTATTATTTTGGAACTTCAACAAGTTGTTTGCACCATGAAAAAAGTGGCAGAATATCTATCACACGGTCCTTTGCTTCTTAGAAAACAGGCAAACTGTCATATTACGCATGAGGCTTCACGGCCTAATTCAGGAGCTTAAACTTCAACTCTACAGTTATATAGGTATAAGTATACAGCTGCGATCTCCGCTTGTGGAGATGCAGCTGCAGAGGAGATGAAGCACAACTCTAACGGTCTTCGAATGCAAATCAGACATTCTTTGATCCTCACAGAACAGGCAAATGGGGACACTGGGCAGACTACTCTCCGTTTTGGAAAAGTGAAAATAGTGTGTCAGTGGTTGGTGGTGTAGTGTGTAACACCTCTGCCTTCTACGCTGTAGACTGGGGTTCAATCCCCCAGCTGGGTAATCACCCTACACTATACCAATAAGAGTCCTTGGGCAAGACTACAAACACTACCTTCACCTACCTGTGTAAAATGATCAAACAGTTCTTGACAAGAGCGTCTGCCAAACGCAGTAAATGTGAAAACAGCATGAAGAGCTTTGCAGCTTCATTAAGAAGCTGAAACTTTCAGTGCTGCAACCTGGATGTTCGCAGTTCAGTCTGAGACTTGTTTGAACCGAGTTTAGAGTTTCTGATCTCTCTGATGTTTTTTGAAAAAGTTTTGGGGTAGAAGTAAAAAGAGGAATTCATCATCTAGGTTACTGTAATACCCACACCAGAGATGACCTGATTAGTCAGAGTTAATGTCACCAATAGAAGTTCACAAAAACTGAACAGAGGGCCAATGTTGCATTTCTGCCATCCAAAGAATTGTGTTTGGTGTGCAAGATATCATCAGTTATGCACATGCTCTAATTAAATTACTTCTGTTCAAATAAATCGCACAAATAAATCATGCTTGGTCTGTAAAGGCCTTTATACAGCACTAAAAGCTACCGAGCGAGTAATTTTGTGTGCTTTGCATTGAAAAACTACAAACAGTGGTTGCTGCTCTTTAAGCATGAGGACTACGGTAACAGAAGCCATCGCAGAAAGTTCGAAATAAAACCGCTTACGTTCTCCATAGGAATCATCACGGCGTGGTCCTTCATCCGCATCAGCACTGGGCCTCGCCCGCCAATCAGTGTCCGTCTTGTCTGGCCCCATGTCACCACCACGGTTACGGTCTCGCCCAGACATGGAGCGGTCATCCCTCTCTAGTAGAGGAGCAACAGAGGCCATTCAACAGTGGTCTAATGATTTATTAGGTTATATTAATTTCTGTTTTTTTAATCAAATATACCAAACTAGCCAAATAAAGACAATGGTGTTTGGTCTTTGGAGTGAGGCTACTCCTGATTGATAAGGAAAGATAAGGAGAGGGGGGAGGAGACATAGATGCAAAACCTGATCTAACAGAAGTAGTATAAAAAAAAACAACCACTGAATTACAAACAGCTATAATTAAAGTACATGGTTTTTGGGCACATACCTTTCTCATTGGACTGATCTGCAATGTCTACACGAATTCTGCGATTCCCTAGATGCTACAGAAAGATAAGAGCAGTTTTAGAATAAAAATGTTTGATGTAGCACAAACACTGTTAAAGTCTCAAAACATACTGTTCATTCCCCAGTAAACAGAATTCATATTTAGATGCTAAGCTGCAAAATCAGGCCCCTTTGAATGAACTGTTTTTGTGACGTCCTGCAAAGGGAACCTATTTACATATGCTATATGGACAAAAGTATTAGGACACACCTCTTAAACACTGACTTCAGGTGTTTCATTCAGTCCCATTGCCACTGGTGTACAAAATCAAGCCCCTAGCCATGCAGCTTGCCTTTACAAAAATTTGTGAAAGAATGGCTCATTTTAAAAAGCTCACTGAATTTGAACGTGGTTCTGTAATAGCATGCCACCGTTGCAACAAGTCAGTTCATGAAATTTCTTCCCTCCTAGACATTCTACGATCAACTATGAGTGGCATTATTGAAAAGTGGAAGCGTTTAGGAACCACAGCAACTCAGCCACGAAGTGCCAGACGATGTAAAGCGGGTCGCCGAGTGCTGAGGACCATAGAGCATAAAAGTCACCAACGGTCTGCTGATCAATAACTGAGCTCAAACCTCCTCTGGCATCAACATCAGCACAGAAACTGCGCCAGGAGCTTCATGGCAGGGTTTCCATGGCTGAGCAGCTGCATGAAGCCTTACATCACCAACCACAATGCCAAGCGTCGGATGGAGTGGAGTAAAGCGCCGCCACTGGACTCTGGAGCAGTGGAAACGTATTCTGCGGAGTGACCAATCAGCTTCTCTATCTGTCAGTCTGACAGACGAGTCTGGGTTTGGCGAATGCCAGGAGAACGTTACCTGCCTGACTGCACTGTGTCAGCTGTACAGTTTGGTGGAGGAGGGATGATGATATGGGGCTGTTTTTCAGGGGTTGGGAAATCTTAATGCTTCAGCAGAACAAGACATTTTGGACAATTGTACGCTTCCAACTTTGTGGGAACAGTTTGGGGAAGAACCTTTCCTGTTCCAGCATGACTGAGCCCCAGTGCAGAAAGCAGCTCCATAGAGGCCTGACTGGGTGAGTTTGGTGTGGAAGAACTTGACTGGCCCTCACAGAGCCCTGACCTCAACCCCATCAACACCTTTTGGATGAACTAGAACAGAGATTGTGAGCCAGACCCTCTCGTCCAACATCAGTGTCTGACCTCACAAATGCTCTTCTGGATGGATGGGCAAAAATTCCCACAGACTCTCTCCAACATCCTGTAGAAGCTTCCCAGAAGAGTGGAAGCTGTTAGAGCTGCAAAGGGGGACCAACTCCATATTAATGCCTATGGATTTAGAATGGGATTCATAAAAGCTCCTGTAGATGTGAAGTGTAGATGTCCCAATACTTTTGTCCATATAATGTATATTAGCCGATTCAGCCCACAGCAGTTTGGCCCTGCCCATTCACGTTGAAGCTATAAGGAGTGTTTCAGCCCAGATGGCTGTTTGGAGTCAAAACAGATGATGGCCAATCAGAACATTCATTTTACATATTTCAGTCTTAAAGGCACAGTAAATAAAACAGTCTATTTAGTTATAAGGGATGCAGAAAGTTTAGGAAACGGTCAAAAATACCTTGAATAAATTCATACAAAATAAAAAAGTACATTTAATTCAAGAAAATATAGGAAATGGACCCTTTGAGAGTTAAGAAATGGAAGCTACATTAGTTTTATAATACACATCAAATACCAACAGTACAAAGCAGAGAGAAAACACCACCTAGTGGCCACAAAGGCAAAAACACTAAACATTAATAAACTCTAGAACCTCAACCAAAACGTAGTAAATGCACAATCAGCTCCATTTAAATCACAGTATAAATGTTACTCTCCAACAGACAAGAGCACAAGTGAATAACACACTGAATAAAAATCCTTACCTCCTCGTTGAGATTGAGAGCTCGCAGCAGAGAATCCACATCATCAAACTCTGCGTACCCAAAGCCTTTCAGACGCTCTGGGTTACTAGGTTCCCGTGGGAGACGGACCGCACTGATCTATAAAAAATACAGGAAAGGGCTGCAAAGATCTGGCTTTACAAATTTATTGTATTTTGATTTGATCTCTTGACTTGGTGACCAGAACCATACATTCTCAACTACCAAACAGAGTACACGTAACAGCATAGGGTAATTATGGCATAGTGTGTTTATGGTACAGAGTTATACCTCATGCTAGGTTTGTAATGCACACATATGCATAGTTTAGGTCTGTCACAATTACTACATAACCGCCCATTTGCAATTATCTGAGATGATAGCACTTTTCATTTTCCACATTAGATTTTACGATGATTTTAAGCTTTAGCGAGCAAAATGTGAATTGGATGTGCTGGGTTGACACAAATAAATGTAAATTAAAGAAGCAGTGCAATGAGAGATCATGGGGCTTATGAAAAAAAAAAGGAAATAACTTGGCAGCATCACTAATGTTTATTTATTTGTTAGCTATGTAGCTTCTAAAGTTTCTTATGTTTTTAGTGTGCATGCTGGCAGAATAAGATTCTTTCCATTTTATTTTCACTAAGTTATGTTTAACTACACACGATTCTCTGTAAGAGAGACATTTAAGTGAGAGAGTGTACAAGCGCCCAACACTGTAGGGGTCTTTAATTAAAATTCAATAAGGTCCAGTTAGAGAAAATTTTCTCAAGCGAAGGTCCAGAACATCATAATGTCTAACTTGCATTATGACTCAGTGCCATATACTGTTTACTGAAGTAGCCTAGTAGTTATATCAACATCTTATACAGTCAACAACTGAATGTCAAATCAAATAAAGTACAGTTCAGTCATATTTCAATAACGTTTACTGTCAGTTTTCTCTTTTTAGAGAACGACATGTGAAATAACTTCCCTCTGACTCACTTTCTTCTCCGACACCTCGTCCCTCCCCTGTGTGTGGATCACTCACTCGAGTCTCAGTGCTCTTAGTAATGCATAGATCTGATTGGCTGAGTAGCGTCACGTGTGATATTTACACCGCATGTGATTGGTCTGTGAGCTAAAGCGGCACCATAAAGGCTAGAAAAGTTACGCCGATTAAAACAGGACCACCCCATCAAAATTAAATAATTCTCCATAGTTTATCGGTTATAGGTCCAGGTCCGCATAGGACTGTGTCTGGGTCTGGACTCGGACCGCAGCCCGCCTGTTAGTGACCTCTGCTGTAGGGTATCAATTTGACCAATTTGTCAGCTACCTAGTAAACATAGCTAGGAAGTCTGCTAATCTGGCCACTTTTGTTTTGCACTTTAGATGCAGAGAATGACTGTTAATCGAAATTTATGACAATTAATCATCAGCTAAAATTTCAGGAACTGTGACAGCCCCAGCATAGGGTACGTAACATTAGAGACATTAGGGAGGAACACCTATTTCAAAGATCTGTCTAATAGACTGTCATGTCCAATACAGGTAACAGGTAATTCATGAAAGAAACCAGCATGCACAGTTTACACAGACCTGAAATATGCCAGCTATTTTCTGACAACTTCTGTTGCCAAGTAGGTGCATCACCACTGACCACTGGTCATACGCAGTAAAGCGGCCTACAGATACACCTACATAGTAGTCAGTCGTTCTGAATGTTTACTGGTCAGCGCAGTATTTAAATCAAAGCAATAATGCTAATACCTACAACATCGCATTTGGAATGATGAGTATTGATCAACATAAACTTAGTCTTCTAACTCCAGTGTATCTAGAGCACTACATCACTAAAAAAAAAGGTAAAATACAGGGTGATTCAAAAAGATTAATCCGATTTCAAAGCGCCATATTTTTACAACCGTGAGGCGCCGAGGAACCAATCACAATCCAATTGAAAGAGGGGGTCATAGAGTTTCTGACTGTCAGTGGAAGATGGCTCCCTTCAGTCTGAGAGGAGATGAGACCCCTGAGCAGAAAGCGTTCTGCGTTCTCCACTTCAATAAGAGTGAATCCGTCATAACTGTGCAGCGTGATTTTCGTGGGCAGTGAAGCTCCAACAGCTCAGAGCGTTCGTCGTTGGTTCCACAACACTGGATGATCTCCGAAATCGCACTGAAAGAGCCGTGAGTGCAGCGACACCCGACATGCTCAATCCAGTATGGGATGAGTTTGACTATGGTGTTGATGTTGTCTGTACAGCTGGAGGAGGTTCATACTGAGACCTTCTACAATTACATAATAAACTTTATGCTCATTTAAACCATTTACAGTTTACTGCACTGTTCTGTAATGATTTACAAGTGAAATAAATCATTTTGAAATCGGATAAATCTTTGGAATCACCCTGTACAGTCTACTCGCAGCTGTTTACATTGCTCCAAAATCTTTCATGGGCTTACTAGCTTTGCCATTTCTCCAACCCACTTTTGTAATCAAACTAAAAGAAATAACTACCAAACACTTTAAAACTGAAAGAAAGTCTGGTAATAAGAACCTGATTCTTGCCAAACACCTTGACATTCCTGCTAAAGAGCTCCAATGCTGTACAGATGAGGGCTTTGGAGTGAACCAGTTGAACAACTTCAGTGTGCCAGACAGATGCTGATGATGTGTTTGATGAGCCGAGTTGCACAATAATTTCTCACTCTGAGCAAGAACGAAGAACTACTAGCAACATGGTGCGGCACACTATGAGGGAAATGGGCCATAAAATCCTGCAAACAGTTGCACTATAAATCATTTAAGACTCCAGCATCGCAGTTTAGCATTCTACTTCATTCAACATGCGATTCATCATCAGCAGCTAGTTTGCAAGGCCTTAGTGAGTTAAATTCAGAGTGTCAGAAGAAGAAAATACTAATCTCTGCACCAGGAACACTAATTTTTGGTGTTTCCCAACTCACACAACCCTGCCACTTCACTTATTTGCACGCTCCATTTATAGTTGATATTAGGGCTGGATGATTCTTGATTAAATGGCAATCACAATTTTTAGCTTAGAATTGAGATCAAGATCCTCACGATCACAATTCAATATTTTTTGTAACATATTTATTCAATTCTTACCTTGCAAAACTTTCAATATCACCTTAAAAGTCCATATTAAAAGCTATTTCAAACATATCAATAAATGCATAAATAAACTGCATTATATAGCATAAGTTAAGTTACCCTTTATTAATCCCAAAACGGGGACGTTCACCTCCACATTTAACCCATCCGTGCACTGAAACACCACATACACGCTAGTGAACGCACACACTAGGGGGCAGTGAGAACACTTGCCCAGAGCGGTGGGCAGCTCTTTCCCCAACACCCAGGGAGCAGTTGGGGGTTAGGTGTCTTGGTCAAGGGCACTTCAGTCATGTCCTGTCAGCTCTAGTGATCGAACCAATGACATTCCGGTCATAAGGCTGGATAATAATAATAATAATAATAATAATAATAATAATAAATAGTAGTGGTGAGACCTGGCTTGTCATTGGCTTAATCTATTCTACTGTCGCACAATGTTGCTTCTATGCAACAAACCTATTTCTGCAAATTCTCATAACAAAAAAAAATTATACTGAATATTAAAAAAGAGGTTTAAATGTGCAAACTAAGAGACAGTATGACCAAGTACATGCTTTTTTAGTGACTTACTCAAACTCTTCCCTTTGTTGTTAACCCTGTTTTTGTCTTTAAATATGTATAATGTTATTGTAAAAGTGAGGAAAATGAGTTTGTTGCCCTGAGGCAACATCGTGCAAGAGAGGGTTAAGGATCAGGTATTGCTATTGGAATCAAAAGGGAAAAAGTGGTATCGGTGCATCTTGACTTCTTGTGGTGTTCAGCCCACGGCAAACTGCAAAAATTAGGCTCTGAGCACAGGAATGCGTCCCTTCCGTCATCATTTACATCGCTGTTCCGCAGTGGTGCAGTGCAGAAACTCTGTGGTTGCCTCTATTGATCTAAAAGGCAGTTTCAGTCAGCTGTGCTCCCATGGGGAAAAACACCTGGTTAAGACAGTGACATGCCCATCATGGTTGGCACGCTACCTTCGCAATGCTACAACAAGGATTTCTGCCCTACTATGGTCTGAAGAACTGAACTGAATTGCACGGAGTAACAATTGAGATCCTGATTTTATTACAATTTTTGGGCAGCCCTAGTTGGCATGCACTGTTAACTGTGCCTCAGATTAGAAGAGATGAAGATTGTGGTAAGAAAACTACTGATAATTGGGGTTTCAATCAATTCACTACCTAAAATCCTGCTTGAAATTCCTTTAAACGTGTTTAGTATTTTACTCACTTCAGATCCAACTAATTATCGTGTTGCCATTTCTACACAGACTGACTGAAAATCAGATCACAAAAATCTACCAAGCTAATGAAACTTTAATGCAGCAATTTCCTTTTGGCCACATGGATGCTGGGGACCAAACCAAGAGCAAGTGAAAACTTACGCTAAGTCCTCGGAAGAAGTCCTTGATGGAGTCCTCGGTGACATCATAAGGGAGATTGCCCAGGAAGGCCGTGTAGGGGGGGCTGCGGGGAAGGCGGGAGCGGTCGATGTTGGGCTCACGGGCTGCGCGGGGCGCCGTTGGCAGAATGGACCTATCAATGGGGGGGGCACGATACGCATCATCCTCTGTGTGCCAGGAGGTGGTAACTGTTGGTTAGAAGGGGGAAGGCATGTTAAGCGAGATTGGAATAGTCTTATTCATTGTTAATAGCTTAAAGCAATGCAGTTATACACCGATCAGGCATAACATCATGACCACCTCCTTGTTTCTACACTCATTGTCCATTTTATCAGCTCCACTTACTATATAGGTGCACTTTGTAGTTCTACAGTTACAGACTGTAGTCCATCTGTTTCTCTGATACTTTGTTAGCCCCCTTTTACCCTGTTCTTCAGTGGTCAGGACCCCATGGACCACCCCATTAGTGTGTGTTGTGCTGGTCTGAGTGGATCAGACACAGCAGTGCTGCTGGAGTTTTGAAACATCTCAGTGTCACTGCTGGACTGAGAATAGTCCACCAACCAAAAACATCCAGCAACAGCGTCCTGTGGGCAGCGTCCTGTGACCACTGATGAAGGACTAGAGGATGACCAACACAAACTGTGCAGCAGCAGATGAGCTATCGTCTCTGACTTTACATCTACAAGGTGGACCAACAAGGTAGGAGTGTCTAATAGAATGGACAGTGAGTGGACACAGTGTTCAAAAACTCCAGCAGCCACTTGTTTCCCGTTAGGGGTCTCACCCTCTCCCTCCAAGTCATCTGTCTCATCTGCCCAGCTGGTGGGCTTTGCGGGTGGGTAACTTAGGTGAGCACTCCCCCCGCTGTCCTCCGCTAAGAAGTCAGTCAGGGTGAGGGTCTTCCCCTTCTTCTTGATCTTCTTACCTGTGGAGAGACACATTCACATTCTAAAAAGGTACAAAGTGCATAGCTTACTGATGCACAATAACAGGCCTTCCTTCTTTATTCCCTGTAATAATTCCTGAATAATGTGGGGCACGTTTCAGCATTTAGCTCTATGCAGTGAAACAGTGACAAAGGAAAGCAAGTTTCCTCAAAGCGACTAATGAATTTTAGACAAACTACATAATTAGAAACATCATGGCCCTACAGTTCTTTTCATATTACCGTGTCCCTCTTTCCTGGGATCATTTTAGTTCAGCACTCACAGACGTAGGAATAAGAATAGCTTTTCTTGCTCTGCCCTGGAGCTCACGTTCACGTCATCACTGCATTCAGTCAAGTGGAACTTGCAACGTGGTGGATTCAAATTAACATACTGGCACCAAGCTCAGGTGCGAAGATGCCAGGCCTTACACTTCAAGTGCTGCTGGACAGCAGCCACTGAAATGAATAGGCAGCCTAATCCACAGCACTCTCCACTTAGGCCTATATTTTACCCTTCCTGACATGCGAACCAGGCTTTTATCTTTGGCTATGCCAAGGGAGAAGTTTACCCAACAATAAAAACATGCAGTGAAGCAGAAGCACATGAAAATGAAAGATGACGAACGTGGTCAGCTGTGGGCTGTGCCCAGCAATAAGACCTTTGGCCCAATCCCAACTCACCCCTCGCCCGTACCACTTAGCCCTCTGTGTTGTGCATTAACGTCTAGGGGGAGGGTGTCCCGATTCTTGTTGAGATAGAGGGGTAGGGCGAAGCGTTGGGGCTACATGACCCTCCAAACAGAGGTTTTTCAGAGGCTCCAAATGGAGAGTTATGAGAAAAAAAAAGAAAAACTGGCAAGATGGAGCAAAAGAGACCAAAGAAACCCACAAATGTGAGAATTTTCTGTTAAAAAATTACGATAATCATATTATCTTAGTTTAATGTCGTTTCAGTGTATTATGGTTGTTTTCTTCATAGCAAGCATAAAAAACATGAATAGCTAGCTAAACCTCCCATTCCACCTTAAATAGTCCAGCAGTTCTGACGCCTGAAGCGCCAGAATGTAACTGCTGCACCATTTAAGGTGGAACGGAAAAATTCGAACAAGAATCTGGTGAATATCTGACTTCAGCTTCATATCACTGAAGAATTAGGGGTGGGTGATAATAAATAATTGCCCCCCCTTCTTTGAAGTCATATGATGCCCTAAATGTAACTAAAGCCCAGCAGTGAGGAGCTGAACTTTACCCTTCTCTGCTCTCACTGCAGACGGGCCGGGTCGCCTACAGAGCAGCGCTAGTAGCCGTTAATGAAGCAATTTTTTTTATTTGAGGGTCCCATTTCGTAGGGCAAGATTTCCACCACTACCCCTTGTAACTCAGTTCCAAGGGGTTAGGGTGACACTCGAAAACAAGGGGTAGGGGTAAAAAGAAATGGGACTGGGCCCTTAACAACCAATGCTCTCCAAGCAGAGACACAGCTGTAAGAAAATTTGTGGCAGCCTTCCTGTACAGCCTGAGGAACTATTTAAAGATTAAATTCATGGCAAGTCAATCTGATACACAGGCGATGGAATGCCAGTGAGGAATACCTCTAATCTCATGACAACACGCGGAGCATGGATGTGTTTTGCTCCTCTGCAGTGAGGACGTTACTACACGCCTTCCCAGCTCTATTGTGACAAACTGCAAGGTCAGGACATTCCACTGTTGGGCCTTTGAATCAGTGTTTACTGTAGGGTGACTAGAGCTTAAAGCCAAACCTAAACAATGAGCAGAGTCCTAAAAACATCGGAGTCTGGTACCATGTTATAACCTCCAAAACAAAACCATGACATGATTCAGCAACACTGTCATCACATTCATATTGCTTAGCAATAACACCACCTACATCTCTACCCTTCTCCTATTAGACAGATTTGACTACTGGCTGACCAAGACTACGTTCACATTACAAGCCTTGCTGCTCAAATCCGATTTTTTGCTCAAATCTGATCTCTCTGACATGATGGTTCACACTCGTTTAGGTAAGTGATTCAAATCTGTCATTAATGTGACGAACCGGCGTCCTGAAATGACCCTCATGAGCTCATCCTACTCAGTAACGTCACGTGAATGAATCACGTTCAGCATCAGCACAAACTAACGAGCAGAACGAGCTTCGCTGAGAAGATAATTAACTCTGATCAGCTCTCAGCTTCATTATTAGAGCGAGACGAAGGAGAAAAAGGTGAGCCGTTTACACCATTTACAGGCTTTAACTGCTGTTCGGCGCTGCTGCCATGGTAACGCTGAATGATGGAGCACGCGCAGTGGGGAAAAAAAGCACATGAATTCTGATCTGAGCGTCACATGAAGGTCGCACGGCCACGAATCGGATATCCAATCTAGGACCACATATGAAAGGCTACGTTCACATTACCAGGCTGAAGTGGCACAAATCTGATTTTTCGCCCTAATGTGACTCAGATCTGATGTTTTCAAATCGACCTAAGTCACTTTCATATGTGGTCCTAGATCAGATACGTATCCGATTCGTGGCCATGAGACATTAATGTGACGCTCAGATCGGAATTCATGTGCCTTTTTTCCGCAGCGCGTGCTCCGTCATTCAGCGTTACCATGGCAGCAGCGCCGAACAGAAGTTAAAACCTGTAAATGGTGGAAAAGCAGCTCATCTCACCTTTTTCTCCTTCGTCTCGCTCTAATAATGAAGCTGAGAGCTGATCAGAGTTAATTATCTTCTCAGCGAAGCTCGTTCTGCTCGTTAGTTTGTGCTGATGATGAACGTGATTCATTCACGTGACGTTACTGAGTAGGATGAGCTCATGAGGGTCATTTCAGGACGCCGGTTCGTCACATTAATGACAGATTTGAATCACTTACCTAAACGAGTGTGAACCATCATGTCAGAGAGATCGGATTTGAGCAACGAGGCTTGTAATGTGAACGCAGCCTGAGAAATCCTGCTTTGTGAAATAACCTCCAGGTCGCTATGAACTATGCTGTTTTTCCTTTCCCATTCCATCACTGAATATGAGCTGTGGACCAGCTCTGCAGGGCCTTTTCCAGCACAGGTGGTCGCAGCCAAGCCGTGCTATGATAATAATCGACCTGCAGTGTAAACAAGACGCTGTCATCCTTCACACCAACCGGCTTGTTTCCTATCTTTGACAGTGTTTTAGTCCTAGGTTTGTCTGCTCCCAACACAGTTTCCTACGGAAGGAAAAGTCTAGGAATATCCAGGTTGACTCCAGGAGCAGAAATGGGAACCACTGCCCCGGTAAACATGCGCCCCTCCCTCCAGAAGTCCACGTGGGGAGCTACCCTACTTCACCCCTCCCTCCGCTTCGCGCCAGCTCGTACATAACAACAGCTTAAGACGAGCTGGGAACTCGTTTCTGCGGTCGGCTTGAGTCGTAATAACGAAAGCATGACTCGAATCCCAGCCCTGTCAGAAACACTCGCCCCGGTCGAGCGAGCGCTGAGGGAGCGGCGTTCAGAGGCGGAGCGGCCGCCCAGCGCCGGACTCCTCTGCACCAACCCAGCCCGGCTGACACCGTGACCGAGCTCAGGCCAAACGTGCGGGTTGTAAACCCGCCTAAAAGACCGAGTAGGCGGTCATTAATGCGGTGTCTGGGTGTGAAAGCGAACAGGCTAGCTGAGGCTAACGCTAGCGCGCCGCCGTTTCCTACGCAGCACCCTAAACGGAGCGCGCCTCTCAGCCGCTGCAGCCCCGGGCTCGGCCGCTCGGGGAGCCGCCCCGCCGAGCGCTCCGCCTCGCCGCGCTCAGCCCGACCCGCCTCCCGAACCGCGCTTTCCTCCCGCCGTTTGACCAAACCGGCCCGGACCCGAACCCCCTTAAACTCTCACCTGACGCCGCCATGATGGAGAACGAGTGCGCGTGTCACATCCCCGGATGGAGGCGTCACCCGCTCGGTGACGCCAGCACGACCAGCAAGGGCCGGACGCTTCCGCGTGACGTCACGAGCACTCCATGGAAACGTCAATTTTTGTGTCCTTATGGTTTAACTTATATTTTAAAAGGAAGCAGTACGTTGTTTTATCAATTACACCTTCCTGAGCCTCAATTCAGCAATATTGGTTTTTAAATCACTCATTTAGAATTCCAATCACCACAGAAGAGCTCGTCCCCACAGTCATATGTAAAGGCTGAGGCCATATTTTGAAGAAAAAAAAAACAATTTAACTGCAATAATCTATACATGACTGGCTTATATGACTTAAATGACAAAGAAAACAAATGCCAAATAAATATTTAAAAATATATAATGAAAGCTGTGTTCCCTCAGGAGTCGAGTCACTGGTGTTACCGTGTATGAAAAAATCTCTTATTCTGAAATAAAAGTCACACTGATGACATCACTTGACTTCTTTTTACCTGTTTTCTGAGGATCTATGAAGAAAAGCACATGGTGAGTCCACTGTGTCTTTCAGTCATCAGAGATTTTCTCATTCAGCTCATGATTTCATATGAAGCTTTTAGCTGAAGTCACTGGTGTGACCCACTTTATTCTGAGGTAATTGTGTAAAAATAGAACACAAATGGATTAAATTACATATTTTAGTGGATATTCCATGATTGACAACATGTGGTTTGATGTTCTGTAGCAGCCGTTTAGTAAAATGCATTTTTCTTTAAAAATGTCTCTGGTGTTCCTTTATTATGTGTAACACCAATGAGGATCGGTAACACCAGTGACTCCTATGGACAGATAGAAAAATTGACGTTTCTGTAGAATGACCCACGAGCTTCAGCTAATACTAATAATTTCACTTTCTATGTAAAAAATACATGAGGTGCCAGGGCCAATTATTTTAGGATACCGTCCGTCGGACTGTCTATCAACCTCAAAGTTACAATCGAATCAAAATATTTTGAATTAGTGAACAATGTATGTAACGATATATGACCATTTTGAATTTGATGCCAACAACACGTTCCAAAAAAGGCCTGTTTACCACTGTGTTTCACCACCTCTTCTATTAACAACACTCTGTAATCGTTTGTGAACTGAAAGTGAAATGTGTTCTCATTCTTGTTTGATACAGGATTTCAGCTGCTCATCAGTTCAGAGTCTCCTTTGTCGTATTTTTCATTTTATAATGTGCCAAATGTTATCAGTGGTGACAGGTCTGGACTGCAGGCAGGTCAGTTTAGCACCTGGACTCTTTTAATACAGAGCAGTGCTGTTGTAATATATGCCGAATGTGGTTTGGCATCGTCTTGCTGAAATAATCAAGGCCTTCCCTGAAAAAGACGTCGTCTGGATGGCAGCATATGTTGCCAAAACATGTATATATCATTCAGCATTAATGGTGCTTTCACAGATGTGCACGTTACCCATGTCATGCACATTAATGCCCCCCTATACCATCATGAATACTGGCTTTTGAACTGTGCACTGATAACAAGCTGAGAGGACACAGTGTCCATGATTTCCAAAAAGAATTTCAAATGTTGATTCGTCGGACCACAGGACACTTTTCCACTTCACCTCAGTCCATTTTAAATTTTCTCCTTTACGAGTTTTAACTTGCATTTGTGGATGCAGTGATGAACTGTGTTCACAGACAGTGGTTTTCAGAAGTGTTTCTGAGCCCATGCAGTGATTTCCACTACAGAATCATGTCTGTTTTTAATGCTGTGCCGTCTGAGGGCCCAAAGATCACGGCCAGCAAATACTGGTTTTTGGCCTCCTCCCTTACACACAGAGATTTCTCCAGATTCTCTGAATCTTTTAATGATATTATGTACTGTAGATGATGAAAAGCAAAAGTTCTTTGCTGTGAAATGTTTGCGTTGAGAAATGTTATTAACTGTTGCACTATTTATCAGTCTTTCACAGAGTGGTGAACCCCTCCTCATCTTTACTTCTGAAAGACTCCGCCTCTCTGAGATGCTCTTTTTAAACCCAATCATGTTAATGACCTTTGACCAATCAACCACCAGATGTTTTTTTTTTTAGCATTACACAGCTTTACCAGCCTTTTGTTGCCCCCGTCCCAACTTTTTTGGAATGTGTTGCTGGCATCAAATTCAAAATGGGCATATATTTTTCAAAAAACAGTAAAATTGCTCAGTTTCAACATTTGATTTCTTGTCTTTGTACTATTTTCAATGAAATGTAGGGTTTGAATGATTTGCACATCATTGCATTTTGTTTTTATTTACATTTTGCACAGTGTCCTAACTTTTTTGGAAATGGGGTTGTACATATTACTCAGAAAGTATGACAAAAAGAGAACAATAGCACAAAAACTAAATTCTGTTGCTATGTTGATAGATGCTGGTCGTACTAAGAAGTTTCACTGCTGTTTATTTACTTGAAGGTAATCGCTGCTACGTGTAGGTAGCTGTCTGTCTTTGTTTACATGGTTGTAACCTAGGAATGAAGGCAGATTTAATATTTAATTATAACATGCAAGAGCGGCTTAGTGTGAAGTGAACTTTGAATATTGGGATATCCAGCTTTGTTACCAAAGAGCACCTTACTGACTCTCCGTAATATACCTGGAATAACTCACTCGAGCCAATAAGCCTCCATTTTGCAGTAAATGAACAGTACTTTGACTGTGGTTTTAGGCTACTCGAGCAACATCTGACAATGCTTTAGGGAAACTTGACCAGTCTCTTCCTTCACACACCCCTTCAGAGCAGCACCTTGTATATGTCACCAGAATCAGAAACACATTTTCACCAAAGTACAGCAAGCAAACTGAAGCAAATCATTCCCAGGCCCGTATGCAGAGACAATGGACCGGGCCAAGGCACATAATCACAATAATGAGCATCAATTCAGACAGTTTTATTTGTGTGTCAGACAAAAGGATGAGTTGCTGGACACAATAAATAAGAACTGAGAGAAGCTTCCATGTGCAGGACATTATTTGTGTGTGACAGTCTAATAAGAAAAGTGTGTTACTCTTGTCTGTCTGTTCAGCGGCGGAACCTAGCAGCAGTATCATCTCTCAGCCTAGGGCCTTAATGTAACCGCCAACTAGACATAAAGAGTTTTCCTAAAATCATGCGGACGCATCATATGAGCATAATGTTCCCTCTTTGACAATCAATTTCTCCCCACATGTCTTGCATTAGAGACCTACTTCTGAAATTATCCGAAACTGGACTTGGCGAGCCAATCTATCACCTCTTGATTAAGAGGTCGTGATTTATTTTGCTGCCAGGTTTTCTGGCCACAGACGAAGAGTATCTAGAGCATTTAGTCCAATTCTAGTGTTTATATGCACACTAGCATTCAAAAGTGTGGAAACAATGTTTTCAATAATATAAAATCAGTTTGGTTGCAAGTGATTTAGTATGCTGGTCCTGAAACCTCATAGCTTTCAAATGACAAGTATTACAAAGAATTACAAGGGATCATAAAACTGTTGCAAGGTAACACAAAGCTGTTGCAATAATTCTTTTTTTCTGCGGTGGCACTTTAGGGGCTCATTAATGTAGCATTGAGCTCATTTGTAGTTCTGCAGTTACAGACTGTAGTCTGTGTGTGTTGTGCTGGTGTGAGTGGATCAGACACAGCAGTGCTGCTGGAGTTTTTAAACACCTCAGCGTCACTGCTGGACTGAGAATAGTCCACCAACCAAAAAAATCCAGCCAACAGCGTCCTGTGGGCAGCGTCCTGTGACCACTGATGAAGGACTAGAGGATGACCAACACAAACTGTGCAGCAGCAGATGAGATATCGTCTCTGACTTTACATCTACAAGGTGGACCGACAAGGTAGGAGTGTCTAATAGAGTGGACAGTGAGTGGACACAGTGTGTAAAAACTCCAGCAGCACTGCTGTGTCTGATTCACTCAGACCAGCACAACACACACTAACACACCACCACCACGTCAGTGTTACTGCAGTGCTGAGAATGACCCACCACCCAAATAGTACCTGCTCTGTGAGGGTCCATGGGGGTCCTGACCACTGAAGAACAGGGTAAAAGGGGGCTAACAAAGTATCAGAGAAACAGATGGACTACAGTCTGTAACTGTAGAACTACAAAGTGCACCTATATAGTAAGTGGAGCTGATAAAATGGACAATGAGCGTAGAAACAAGGAGGTGGTCATGATGTTATGCCTGATCAATGTGAGTAGAAATAATAGTGATATCTGGAAGGTATCGTATTTCAAAAGTGGAAGTCTAGATAGGTAGGTAGGTAGGTAGGTAGGTAGGTAGATAGATAGTTAGATAGATAGATAGATAGATAGATAGATAGATAGATAGATAGATAGATAGATAGATAGATTTTTTTGGTTAACAGTTTGTAATATGTTAATCTATGTTTTCTTTGTCAAGTCAAGTCAAGTCAGGCTTTATTGTCATTCCAGCTCTATACAAGTACACAGTGAAACGAAACAACAATCCTCCAGGACCAACGCAGGAACACAAGTGTGAGACAATACAATAAACACAGTGCAGACAATACAGTACAGTAAATAAATACAAAAGACTTACAATAAAGACAAAACAGAACTCAGGCAGCACACGGTACTGAGAGTATGTGGAGCTGTGCAAAGGATGATGGAACACACTATGACATATTAGCAGATTAGCAGATAGACTAGTATATATGAGCATAGCGGTCACTGAGGTAGCAGCCAGTGCAGCAATATATAGTATACAGTATTCGGTTGATACAGTAATTCTAGCAGCTAATGTTGTTTAAGTGAAGTAAAATGTGCAAAAATACAAGTGTTCAGATTTTTTTATTTTATGGGATATAAAATAAAAGTTGTTAATATTGCAAGTATTTTTTAATGCTAGTGTAAACACAGTATGAAAAAATAATACATGTAAACGGTAATATTTTTAATTATCAGTATATTTTAATATGTCAAGGGAGACGATGATTTTCTTGAAAATAAGTTAACACAAGGTTAATACAAGGAACAAACTCGAAATGTTT